CCCCCCCCCCTCCGCCATCTCAATCTCATACAACGTCAAACATCTGCCATTAAAAACCAACATTAGTTCTGTTGTTTTAATGTGTTTTTGAAGGCTATAAGTGATGTGATTTTATCAATATTATAATGATTGTAATTAATGAAATGTTATAAATCTACCCATGCATGTATATGAAGTTTATTCACATACATAACACGAAATCAAGTATCACTTAATTAGTGTCTAAGATATGTTTTATCCAAAAATCACAAAGGACGTGATTCTTTAAGTTTGGAAACTGAAATTCCTCACTGGAAGTAAAATTGAAACTCGTGCTACGATGTGGTAGAGATAGCAAATAGATTGGGGCGAACAAGATTAAAATCCGTTCTGTTACCACCTCATGCAGATTCAAGCAAAGATATGTTAAAAGAGGAAGAAGAAAAAAACAAGTTGGAAGCTTCTTATTAATATCGGGATATTCCATTCTCTGTTCGTTGGCAAGGACGAGACATCAATCGGTGATATTACTGTTTCATAATAAATTGGCGCCTTGTGATCTTACACTCCTCAAATCATCTCAGTCTACCTGACAGCGCCAGGCACTCTCAGCAGCCTCATCGCTCTTGAAAATGACTTGGTGCCAATGTTCAACCTCAAATGCAACGACACGCATATTTAGAGTTAGACATTATTTAACTAGCTTTATATGCAGAGGTTGTACTCTATGTACCGTATCCCAAGCGCTAATCATGAAGCAGGAAAAAAATTGGTTGGTGAGTATATGGTACATCGTGTTATTTTTTATGCGATGCGATTATTTATAGTGATAACCCCCATTCAGTTGGAATTTGTGATATCACTAAATCCTAACAGTGATATCACATACTGATAGGCCTATTTGTTACAGTGCTAGCTGATGAATAAGTGATGTCACCATAATGAATGTTACTTAAAAACATCTTCAATGTAATGAGCTGGATTTTATGAATTTATGTCAAGATATTATTTTGAAAAACCTAGAACATTCAAGTTCCATACATTATGTAATTAAGTCAATAACGAAAGAATTAATATCACTTGTAAAATGTCTTCAGCTCATAATTGAGCGAATTAACACTGTCCATTAACACAACACCATGATCTGTATGTAAATTGTTGTATGTAAATTCTCAACGCTGTAACCAGCCTTTGTCATTGGGGATATTAACTGTGAAGATATTTTTTTACCCTCTTTGTGATAAAGACAATTATGGATAACACTTATTTGACCAGGTTTTTGAAAGAATGTTACTTTCACATTACGGAAGGAGACACGTACACGTACAGCGAGACACGTACACTAAAGTATAATTTAAAATTGCCAAAAATTTATTTGAATCATAGCATTATCAGCATGACCTTATTGCTATGCCATCATAAGTTCAAAACGTTATCTATTCATATATATATAACAAAATATAAGATAATCTCATTAGCAGTATAATTCAATTACTATAATTGATTATAATGTATATTTGTATTTAATTTCCACACACACAAATGATCAAACCTCAAAGTTGGTCAGTAGGGTTGCATGACTTCGAGCTATTTTCAGGTTAAATTGAACGATATGTCTTGCGAACTAAAAAAAGGTGGGGAAAAAGGGAAAAAAATCAAAAAAATCCAGAAGAATATAAAATTCATATTGTGTGCTTTTTAGAAACGGCTTTTCAACGAGCGAGATATATTAACAAATGTTCTCCAGATGAAACCAACTATAAGTGCATTTTTGACTGAACAGTAAAAAAATGGAATTTTCGGGAAAAAAAACATTAAGTGGGTTTTTTTCGACTTCTGAATGATTTTGCCAGAAAGGGCGTAACATTTTCATGTTATAATATAAAAGTTAAACAGTTAAACATCTTTTTAATTGGCGTAAGTACTAAACAAATCCATATTCCACTAATCTGTGCTATTGGAGAAAGATAATATTAAGATTTATTTAACTTGATAAAAGATTTCCCCTTAATTAACTTCCAAAATTTTAGTGATTTGGGTGATCGGGTGGTGTAGTGGATAGCACACTCGGCTTTCTATAAGGCGACTGGGGTTCGATACCCCGACCGGACGTGAAAAGGTATCCATGGGGTCACTTCCCTACTACGCGGGTTTACTCCGGGTACTCCGGTTTCTCCAACAGTTAAACCATCTGCGCATTAACATCCGTGCAAAGAAGAGTGATTAATATAAGTTGAAATAACTTGTTTTATAATTATTGTAAAATCGAGAAAGTTTATATAATAATTAGACTAATTTCCTTTATTTTTGGTCCTGTTTTAGTTGTACACGAATCCCCAGGGCCAACCAAATTAACAATACTAGTCCCTCTGGGTTGATTTTGGTAAACATTTTTAAAGTATTATTATTTAATAAATCTTCCGTTGATATGCATCATTGTAAACAAAAATTATAATAAAATAAATAAAAACAAAGGATAAGAGAAACTTGTTTTTTTTTTTATATAAATAGTTATTGGCCTGACGACATATGATATTTCCAATTCATTATGTTAATCAATTAAATCAATAGTAAAAATAGTGCCCCAGAATTACTTGACATATTAATTTCATGGGATGTCACCTTAAATGCATATATAAGTTCTATAAATAGCCAGCCAACTGGAAGGGTTCCGTTATGGTTACTGACACTTCATAACGCTAACCTTACCTAGCATATTATTGCTACTCTATAACAGCAAAATATCGTTTGATATTTAATATACTCAATAATAAGATAAACCTCTTGTTTTTAAAACTGCACGTTTCACAATAACAACTAAAATTTTCATAAAGAAGCAAATTCATGTAAAAATCTTGCAACAATGATGTTACGGTACGGGCAGGTGCCCCGATAAAAACTGTTTTGATCACGTGGTCATCGTTGCTATAGGTATAACCTCTGAACCAAAACAATGGGTCCGTTATAGAAAATAGTGCCTGTAGTTGTTGCTTTGTTTTTATCGAAAATTAAGATTTTACACGCATTTAATGCTTGTGAGTTAATAACATGAGTAAGAAGTATCTTTTTATATAAAAGTATTAATATAATACCGTATTTCAGAGAAGTAAAAAAAACTACGTATGAAGATTATAGTGCGTGCAATATGGCGACTAACCAAGGAATTTACAATGGCCGAAGAAAATAACAGATATTTCCAGATATGTAGCAAAATGAAGACTGGAGATAGTGTGTACAATTCCTAGATTGACAAAGTTTGTATCGATAACCAAAGAACTTAATGATAAGCCGGTTCGTTGTGTATACAAGCGGAATGGTTTGACGGACATGAGATATTTTGACAGGTGTCGTCGTGAAACTGGATTATTTCGTCGTATTTCAGGGTGAACGCACAGTCATTTAACTAGCAGTTAAGTCTATAAGGAGGACCGTTACATTGTCTCATCATTTACATACATAACTACCGTGTTCGATCGTCATTTACATCTGTACATCATTGTTCCATAGACCTACCCTTCAGTTCATAATATTGGCAGCCATTTTGTTGTTATTTTATCATAAAGGTCACACAACCGTCCAAACATCATTATAGCTACTAGTCAGTAAGCCTTGGAACATCATAATCTTCATTTGTAGCTGTTTATTGTATAATTTACAAACAGTGCCTGTCGTGTAAATCATAGCCTTCCTGTAAAGCCAACGCTGTATACACTAAAGCCTACATGTACCATTGGTGCGAAAAGGATCATGGAGAAGTATGACAAGCTCGGCCGAATCGGAGAGGGTTCTTATGGCGTGGTGTTCAAATGCAGAAATAAAGACACAGGCGGTATTGTGGCTATCAAAAGATTCGTGGAATCAGAAGATGACCCACTTATTAAGAAGATAGCGATGCGAGAAATCAGAATGTTAAAGGTGTGTTTTATCATTGTGTTTCATAGTCAATGTTGCATGCACTATAGGCCTACCATATTCTATTCCAGTATAGCGGTTATGCACAGAGGATTTTTTTACCATCCAGGCATCCTTTCGAATGCATGCAGTTGACATCAACTGTTGTTATATGTTTTATTCAACTGTCCTTCAGACCCTAACCATTGTACTTGTGGCCATCATTCCTTGTCCTAGAATACCAGAAAACGTAACTTTTTATGTTGTACTAAAACAAAACCCTCAACCCTGCCCCATACTCCAACAGTGTTCGAGATTTACACAACAAGATACTTTTGACAGGCCGTCGCAGTCGATAAAATCATATCCGATAGAAAAAAGGCCGACCAGCGGCCTCTTATGTTATAGAATTACCCTAGCTGCTCCTATTGTAATTAATTTAAGGTGCATTGGAAAGCCTCAAATCTTGTTTGATGTACACATGCAACCCCAACCCGCACTGTTAAATGTACATCATTCATGCACTATTTTCTACTGACAACCGTCCATGTGCACCCGCCCACCAAACCCCACGCCCTATTGATTGTGAAAGTGCTGCGAACCTCAAACATTCCCCCAAGGTTTATTGTACAGGTTTAAGACAAACACCATCCCTTGTTTTTATACAGGTGAACAGCAAAAACATCCATTGTTCAATGTGCAGGTTTACTACAAACAGTACTTGTGTACTGTACAAACACCATCCCTTGTTTAATGTACTTGTGTACTGTATAAACACCATTCCTTGTTTAATGTACATGTGTACTGTACAAACACCATCCATTGTTTAATGTACTTGTGTACTGTATAAACACCATCTCTTGTTTAATGTACTTGTGTACTGTATAAACACAATTCCTTGTTTAATGTACACTGAGGTGTAGTACAAACACCATCCTTTGTTTAATGTACTTGTGTACTGTACAAACAAAATCCCTTGTTTAATGTACATGTGGACTGTACAAACACCATCCATTGTTTAATGTACTTGTGTACTGTATAAACCCCATCTCTTGTTTAATGTACTTGTGTACTGTATAAACACAATTCCTTGTTTAATGTACACTGAGGTGTAGTACAAACACCATCCTTTGTTTAATGTACTTGTGTACTGTACAAACAAAATCCCTTGTTTCATGTACATGTGGACTGTACAAACACCATCCATTGTTTAATGTACATGTGTACTACAAAAAACATCACTTGTTTAATAAACAGGTGTACTGTGCAAACACCATCCCTTGTTTAATGTACTTATATACTGTACAAACACCATCCCTTGAATAATATACATCTGTACTATACAATCACCATCCCTTGTTTAATGTACATGTGGACTGTACAAAAACCATCCATTGTTTAATGTACATGTGTACTGTATAAACACCATCCCTTGTTTAATGTACTTGTGTACTGTATAAACACCATTCCTTGTTTAATGTACACTGAGGTGCAGTACAAACACCATCCCTTGTTTAATGTACTTGTGTACTGTATAAACACCATTCCTTGTTTAATGTACACTGTGGTGTAGTACAAACACCATCCCTTGTTTAATGTAATTGTGTACTGTATAAACACCATTCCTTGTTTAATGTACACTGATGTGTAGTACAAACACCATCCCTTGTTTAATGTAATTGTGTACTGTATAAACACCATTCCTTGTTTAATGTACATGTGTACTGTACAAACACCATCCATTGTTTAATGTACATGTGTACTACAAAAAACATCCCTTGTTTAATAAACAGGTGTACTGTGCAAACACCATCCATTGTTTAATGTACTTGTGTCCTGTACAAACACCATCCCTTGTTTAATGTACTTATATACTGTACAAACACTATCCTTTGAATAATAGACATCTGTACTATACAATCACCATCCCTTGTTTAATGGACATGTGTATACAAACACCATCCCTTGTTTAATATACTTGTGTACTGTACAAACACCATCCCTTGTTTAATGTACTTATATACTGTACAAACACTATCCTTTGAATAATAGACATCTGTACTATACAATCACCATCCCTTGTTTAATGTACATGTGTATACAAACACCATCCCTTGTTTAATATACTTGTGTACTGTACAAACACCATCCCTTGTTTAATATACGTATGTACTGTACAAACACTATCCCTTGATTAATTTACTTCTGTACTATACAAACACCATCCCATGTTTAATGTACACTGAGGTGTAATAGAAACACCATCCCTTGTTTAGTGTACTTATGTACTGTATAAACACCATCCCTTGTTTAATGTACATGTGTTCTGTACAAACACCATTCCTTGTTTAATATACATATGTATTGTACAAACACCATCCATTGTTTAATGTAAATGTGTACTGTACAAACACCATCCAATGTTTATTATATTTGTGTACTTTACAAACACCATCCCTTGTTTAATGTACTGATGTACTGTACAAACACCATCCCTTGTTTAATGTACAAGTGTACTGTACAAACACCATCCATTGTTTAATGTACATGTGTACTCCAAAAAACATCCTTTGTTTAATGTACTTGTGTACTGTACAAACACCATCACTTGTTTAATATACTTATGTACTATACAAACACCATCCCTTGTTTAATGTATTTATGTACTATACAAACACCATCCCTTGTTTAATGTACACTGAGGTGTAGTACAAACACCATCCCTTGTTTGAAAGAAAATTACACACGTATGCATTTGACAGTCTTTTGGAGCATATACATGTGTGTATGTTCATATATGCGTTTGGTTGACGACCTAAAGCCCTTTCTAATACCAATGCAGGCATGTTTCTTTCCTTAATTAATGATAAATGTTTATCAATTGTTTTTTTCTAATTTCATCCCTAAAGTAAATTTATTGACCAGAAAAAAAAAATGTGATAAAAAAATTTGAACATGATCTTATGACATCATTTTTTCTGCGTATATCCGATTTGTGAACTTTTTTTACAATGCCGTAAACACTGACAGATTTAAACCTCCACCGTATGTACAATTACATATATACAAAAACATTGCATAATGCAGCTCTTGTAATCTACGAACAGGTCTCACTTCTTGTTCAGATGCAACCCTTATGCAGGTGCACTGCTTGCATAAAGGTCTAGATTAAAATCTTGTTTGTTTGCCAGAGTTCCATCTCATGACATTCACTTAGGAAGTTGCAAATACTGTAGATTAAATATTTTATTTCACTTTGCCTTGAAGGTATTTTTAGAATAACACACCTTCGGTTATGTATGTATTACAAATGTTGTTATAGAAGATGCCTATCTTTTTAATATTTAATAATTTTCATAATTTATGTTCATGCAGTACTGTAATACACATTTTTTTTGGTCATAAATAATTTTGAAATTGAAATTTCCAATAAAATTATTATGAATAGCGCGAATTTTTGTAGTTCGGTTGGTTTATTGCAAACAATATATTTTTTAATAAAGCTTGGATAGTCAGTCTGCCACCCTAAAAAATACTATAATTATTCTTTGTGTAGTTTCTCGTCTCTGTAGATTGTTACACTAGCGCGCAGTCAACTGTAACCATATTCATCAAGCTGAACCCTGACACAGCAAATTTAGTACTTAAAATATATTGTGATATTTTAATGTTATTTTTTTTTTTGTTCTTCTGATTTTTTTTAACGTCAACTAATCATTTTACACTTCCAAAAAAAGTTAAAATTACTATTCAAGTGAAGGATACTTATTAATTTTTCATTTTCTGTATTTTGTTTTCTATCTTTTCTTTCAGCAACTGAAACATCCTAATCTTGTCAACTTAATAGAAGTTTTCAGAAGGAAGAAGCGGCTACATCTAGTGTTTGAATATGTTGATCACACGGTGCTACATGAGCTAGAGAGATTCCCCAGGGGGTAAGTTTGGTTGGAGCGCAAATTAAAAAAAAAAAATCATAATTCATATTTACTTAAAAAAAAATCATAATTACTTAACTTCTTTGGCTGAAAAACAGAATTTCCTGCAACCGCTTTTTCATGGTTTCATATAGTACATGTGCAGAAAACTTTGGGAATCGCATTAGCTTCAATACAGTTATTGCAGAAAGGTTTCTGATCATGAGAGCAACTTCTGGGGATCACAACTTAATTCAGGAATTCAGTTAATCTGCGGGGCCCTTATGAAGGCCCCTTTCCCTAGAAACTTTTCAATGAGTAGATTCTGAAGTTGCATTGAACCACAGTGATTTTGGGACACAGATATTTGAGTCCTATACTTGTACTTTTTCTGTGTCAGACTTTCCCACATGTTGATCCGAGAGCCCCATTATGTCTCAGAGAATTTCTTCGAGTGAATCTGCTGTGGCCCTACAAAATTTTCCCTGTATTTTCCCAAATTCCATGCAAAAATAACTTTATTTTCACCAAATCATGCTTTTTGTAAGTGATATTTCCCCAAAGTCACCAGGCACAGGCCCCTGTACATGTGAGCACAGGCCCTTGTACATGTGAGCACAGGCCCCTGTACATGTGAGGGCCTGTAGGCCCCTGTACATGTGAAAAGTACACATGTATACATGTAAGGTTGAAACATCACTGTATCTAAGCTTAAGGGGTCTCATCAATATTTTGAAATTGATGTTCAGGACTTTCCTGAAAAAAAGTCTTTTGAAAACTCACTAAATCCTTAACTAAGTCAATTCTGTAGTCTTATGGGGTAGTTTAAACATCTTAACCCTTTCATCCGGCTAATTAAGTAACTTTAGTAGACTCTCCCATGTATTGATATGGATGAGTCTATTATGGTCTACAGTGGTGAAAGGGTTAACATATAATGTACATGGAACGTTTGACAGTATGAAGTGCTCTTTCATGATAGTTTATGTATTTTCTGCATGACCAAGTCAAATGGTAATAAAAAAAAAGTGATTTTAAGGTTCCCCTCATGCAACGTTGAACAAATAAATGCCACTTTGTTCTCAGTACATAATATTGAAATGTGCATCTGTTATCAGATGATATACAAATAATTTGCTTGCAAGCCCTTCCCATGATCATAAAATGACTTTGAAAGGAGGCACAGTTGTCTAGTGGTAGCTAGCTATATATAGACGCCAGGCTTGTGACCGAAGGCCTAGGGTTGCGGTTTTGAGTCACGGCACTGTTTTGTATCTTTGAGCAAGATACTTTACTCCGTTTGTTCCAGTCTACTCAGCTGTAAATGAGTACGTGGTTGGGCAGTGCTAGAATTGTTGAATGCAAGCTGTGAGCGCCAAAATGGCAGCACCGGCTGTATGCTTCCCAGGGAGTTGGAGAAAGATATTGCCTGTTTGCAAATTAAAGGCCCTATAACCACGGACAATAATATGTGAACAGCTTTGAGACGACCTGTGTACTAGATTGTGATAAAGCGGTATATAAGAACCTCAAATTATTATTATAATTAATAAGTAACAAAAATGACAAAATAAGTATTGTCAGTGGTGGCAATAAACACATAGACATATTTAATATCATTAATTGGCAAAATGTTGTTATAAATTCATCAATGGCAGTATCACAGATAAATACTGTACTTATGATAAAAGAAATGATTGAATATTATAGAAACGTATAAACCTGACTAATGTGCTTATTGTACGAGAGGTCATTTAGCATGATTTATACATCCTCTGTTGAAAATACTTGGGCAACCAGCCAAAGTTTACTCTTTAAAATATCAGGCCCTCAGGTAGGGCTCACTGTTACATGTAAATTCTGCATTTGTATCCAATTAATTTTTTGGACAGAACTTTTGATTACTCTGATAATTGATCGGGACACATCTAAAAACCTGTTAATAAATAAAGAATGTGTTCTCAGCAGTAATTTATTCAGAAAAGTGATTGCCATACATTGTACATCACAAACTATAATAAATTTTGATTACGGAGCCAATAACTGCAATTACATCTGAATGTGCTGGCAACAAAAGGGTGTCAATTTATGTATAAAGGCATGTTATAAAATATCACTTACATAAAAAAAATGAAAAAAAAAAGGAGAAAAAAATCCTTACATTTAACCCTTTCACCCCTATGTAACTTTAGTAAACTCTACCATGCATTGATCTGGATGAGTCCATTATGGTCCACAGTGTTGAAAGGGTTAAAGATTCCTGTACCACTGCTATAAACTGTTACTAAGTATATATTGGAAACAATATTTCCAAGCCTAAACTAAGTATATATTGGAAACAATATTTCCAAGCCTAAACATAGCTTTGATAAATCAAATCTGAAAAGAAAATCATTTAAACAAAATCTAAATCAACAAAAGTGTTCTAGGTGTACAAAATCAGCAGGGCCTAGCCGGGATTCGAACCCTGGACTTCAGATTGTTATACTATCGCTCTAACCGATTGAGCGTGTATCTTGTCAATGGAAGCGATCTAACCGAACTGTGCTACAGTTATATCCAAATGGAAGTTAATAAGGGGAGGTTACTGTCTATAGGAAAAACACTGCAGCGGGACAGGGATCCTTAAGACTGTCTTTAATAATGACATTGATAACAAATTTAATACCGGTAATTAATGAAATACATATATGTACTATTTTGTGGAATGAGGACCCAAGACTGTACAACTTATACACATGTACAGCACAACTTAATTGTCACACAGGACCGAGATATCTCAAAGGACTACCTGTAATATCTGGTCTGATATGCATGTCAAATTGTATTTTTTTCAGAGTCAGCGAGGACTTGATAAAGAAGATTGTTAGCCAGCTTCTAGAAGCTGTTAATTACTGTCACAGTCGGAATGTAAGTATATATAAATATAACCATATGGGTCAAAGAAGTAATATAGACGGTAAAATCACATATAACACTGGATCCTAATGGAGGTATGTCCGTAGGATACGAATTACTTAAAATATTATATGGGGCAAAGAAGTAATTCCAACAGTGTAGACATGTTTAGGTATAACCATACACATATTAAGTGGATTTTTTTGGTTTTTTGTACTACTGTATTAAATTATCTATTAATACATATATATACTTGCAGTGTTGATAATAAAATGTTATGTTTAATCTGTCTTTATTGTTTTTTAGTGTATACACAGAGATGTAAAGCCAGAAAACATCTTACTGTCTACAGAACGACAAGTGAAACTCTGTGATTTCGGCTTTGCGAGAGTTTTAAGTAAGCACCTGCTGGTTGTAGTAACATTTTGATACCCCCCCCCATAAATTTCTTGCCTCTAAATTTCAGAAATAAGAGATTCATGTGTTATCTTAATCATCACAATTCTGTAACATTTCAGAAAATAAAAGTTGATTAAATGTGGAACTGATGTAAAGATTTATTGATTTAATTTTCCTCTTTGTCTGTCTGCCTCCCTTTGTTGTGATTTTGAAAAATTTATATATATGATAACGAAGTACCTGTAGATTCAAAAGATAAGCGTCTGGTTTATGTAATAAAAAGGAGAGTGATCAGATAATTATTTGGAATCCAACTTTCACATACAATGTTGAAATTCTTTGTTCACAGCGGGACCGTCTGATAATTACACAGACTATGTAGCCACGAGATGGTACAGAGCCCCAGAGCTCCTAGTCGGGGATCCCAAATACGGACCCCCTGTGGACGTGTGGGCAATCGGCTGTGTATTTGCCGAGCTTCTCTCAGGACAGGCACTGTGGCCAGGAAAATCAGATCTAGACCAAATCTTCCAGATTAAAAAGACACTAGGTTTGCATTCTTATAAATTTCTAAGAGAGAGAAAAAAGTTATAAGGTGATTATAAGTTATATGCATGAATGTAACACAGCTATTTGATATTTTATGCTTTTGTGATTTTATGATTTTATACACTATATACATGTTTGGTTTCATTGCAGCAAGTTAAGTTTGAACATTTATGTTTTCAGGGGATTTATTACCTTCACAAAAATCTGCGTTTTCTTCAAATATATTTTTCCAAGGACTGGAGATCCCTAATGTAGAACCAGAGGTAAGGATATTCATGAACATTACCTTGACACAGCCCGACAACAGTTAACTTGAAACTATTTTGTTAAAGGATCTTTCATTTGATCAAGAAGATCTTATACATGTGTAGATTAAAAAAAATAAAAATTGCTGTGTTTCTTTCAGAATTACGAGCCCTTGGAATTAAAATTCCACAAGATGTCTCCAGTTGCTCTGAGTTTTATGAAGGTAAGCATTATTGTTCCGTGTTGTTTATTTATGCTTGGTCAGGTTGTTTTTTTTGTGCCCTCAAAAACGTTCATGTCATAATTGTTTTAATTTATCAATCAATAGATATGATAAGAAACACATATACAAAAGCAGAATAAAAATATTTAAGAAAAGATTTTTTATTTTCAATACAAAATGTATAAGTTTAACCACCAAGCCAATTTGACTCTGGAATGTAGATTGCTGGGTTAAGGAAACATAAAGGTAACAAAATTTTTGGTAAGAAAAAAGTCTGAAAATAAGATAATATACCAATACATGTAGTGTGTAGTGTTTTAGAAATGAAAAGGGATGCATCAAGGTTTTTCTTAAGTGCTAATTTATAAAATTCTGTTACAAAAAAATAAAATAAAAATAATATTTTGTATACTTGTGTGGTATAGAACTGTCTGAATATGGACCCTGCCGAGCGTATGACGTGTGAGGAGTTGCTAAAGCACCCGTACCTGGATGGTATGACGTCACTCCTTGACACCAGCCAACGAAAGAACGAGCGCAAGAAGCAGGCGTCTCGGACAAGCAATCATGTGAGTAGTGTGGTCTGACTGACGTTAGAAGCACTGTTTGGCTGTATAACTTTAGAAGCAGAATCATTTCATTACCAAGTAGTTGTGTTCAAATTCTTGAGTATGAATTAAATCTTGCTCTTAAAAAGGAAAAAAACAAATTCAAGTAATATAATTTTGTAAAAAAATAAATAATTAGAAACTAAGGTGAATATAATGTAATGACTGGTAAAAGATTTTATGTTTTCAAATTAGCTGTAACTTATAGATAAGCATCTAAATGTAGCAAAAAGAGGGGGGGGGGGCACAGATTTTTGAAGATTGTTAATGGTTATTCCTTTGAGAGCAGGATTTGTCATACAAGATCGTCACCATACTATTTGACTTGTTGAATCACCGGTTTGCTTGTGTTCCCATACTTTCACACCTCCAAGATCTAGAGCTATTTAGAGATTACTCTTTAATTTTCAATTATAGCTTATTTGACATTTTAGTTCATGTATTTTGATTTATTTTCAAGACTAAAAATTAAGAAAATATATATATATGTGAAAGGAATTCTTGGAAGATTTGTCAAAAGGCAAAAGATTTCTTATAATATATGACCATATAATGTATATCAACCGAATAATAATGTATTTTTAAACAGATGGAAATTCTAGGTTGATTTTAACAACGTTAACTGAGTAACTAGAGCTGAAAACACTTTAAAAAATAAATTAAAAAAATAAGCACATAATTTGTTTTAGTTACGAGAACCTGTTACATGTTTCTTGTTCTGTTTTCCACACCCTCCTCTACCCTTCTACCAATTATCTGAGCATCGGGTTATTTAAAAATAACCCAGGAAATACCCGTGGCCTTGGTTGTAGGCGTGATCCTGACGATGTTACACAATATTACACACTGACAATCGGCATCATCATCCGACATATTTTTTTTTCGAAATCTAACTGAATGTTGAGGTAAAATTATTAGCCTCTATTTTTTTTGTTTGAAATTTACAGAACTTGCCGTACTTTAGAAATAAGGTCAGTATCCAATAGCTTTAGCTACAGAAGTCATACAATTAGTATCAGTATCATTTTTCTTAGAAAGTTGAAAGTAAAGCGAATCCATACTGTACCTGTTGGATCGGTACCTGTAGGGGCTTTGGGCCTCCCGCCACACCCGTGGCTTCTGTAGCCGGGATTTCTCTACCATTTAACCTATATAACCTATCTGCATGTCTTCTGTAGTGTAGAAAACACTCTCCATTTCTTCTTTTCTTGCAATGATAATTCTAAAAAAATATTGATCCATTTCATTATTAATCAATGATAACAATATTCTCATCTTTCTTTCTGATATTTTTTTTTTTTTTTTTTCGTTATTGAAATATTAAAAACAAGAATATTTTAACTTTACAGAAGAATGAGTGTTTCATTAAACAGTACTGGTGTTATACATACGTGTATTCAGTGTTGTGTTTAAACTGCATGGGTTGCGTGTTATTACTGGTGTAAATATGTAGAAGTGTGTGATTTCTCTGGTTCCGAGGTTACTAGGGGTTCTACTCTGACAGACGGACACAGCTACAGCTGCTGCAGGGGTCATTGTTCAGATAATCAAGTGAGACAAAAATAAACTTGATTTTGGAACTATTAAATAGTGATTAATAATATTACCGGTTGTTTTAACGAAACATTAACAAGTAATTTTGGAGGAGATATTTTACCATTGTCACATTTTCTGAGGTTTAAAAGAAATGAATACATTTTTCAAATGTGATATCTTTTAATAGGTGACGATGCTGCTTAGAATCAATTTTGCATTGATCATTATAGAGCATATTAAGTTCCCGATAAAATTTTGACAAACTAGTTAATTTTGCTAATAGTTGCTGATTTCAAGAAAACTAAGAAACTGTAATAAATCGACCATACTAGCTAACGCCAGTAGCCTACTGCGGCTGCTGGCTTGGGCTCTCTGACTCTATGTCCTGGTGGTGTGGTGTGGTGATGTGGATGGTAGTGTTTACACATTAGTTTCCTTCTATACACCAGGGTTCTGTCTCCTTTGACTCTTGGCCCTTAATCATTAGGTATGATCAGTATTTGATATTGATTGAATGTATGGATAAGTGAGGTTGTATAGAGAAGTACATTTTTTTTTTATGTCATCCTGGCTTTTTAGTCTGTTGGTAAATTTCATGGTTAGCACCTGGTAACGTGACTTTTGCGTAAGCCTGTAGCTATATGTTCGTGTGCCAATGTTGTACTAGTAGCTGGATGACACTGACACTGAGGCCTGGTCGGATTGCTCATAGGTTATTTCTCTGTCAATTTTGTTTTTGGCAGTATGGCAATAGAACTGCCACTTTATCAACTGTCAGTTTTCTTAGCCAACCTAGTTTAAGCAGGATGAAGAACTTATTCATTCACTCATTTTGAATATATTCAGTTCAGCCAATTTGAAATGTCATTGAGATATTCAAGCTTGCCTTTGATCTGGAGTTGACAGCAAGGTTGCTGGAATGTTTGATGTGATTGTGAAGGGAGTAGAATTGTCTTATGGTCTTGGTTTTAAAACGTGTCTTTTGACACACTAACATTTGGAACAATAACAGGCACAGGTTTTGTTTGGGATATAAATTAACAGATACAGGTGTTGTTTGGTTTGTTAACAAAAACACAGGTGTTGTTTTGGATGGTAACAGGATCAGGCGTTGCTTTGCACGATAATGGGAACGGATGTAGGGCGTTTGTTTTACAAGAATAGGATGTACAATATGTAGATTTACTGTTCAAACATCGTAAATTGTTTCTGGAAAATGTCTGCAATGTATGTTAGAGATGATCATGATTGCTTGTTATCCGAATTCTAGACTGTACATGTTTGGGTTAGAGTTTGGTGTGAGGCAGGGTTAGAGTTTGGTGTGAGGCAGGGTTGGAGTTTGGGACTGAAGCAGTGAGTTGTAAATTCCCAGAAGGTGTTTTCGATGATAGTGTTTGGGGCATTGTTACAATATGAGAGTCAAAAGAGGAATGGCTGCAATGAACAAGTTGAGCTATAAATAAATATGACAGAAGATGGCAGGATAGTTTACAGAGATTGTATAACATTATGGCGAGACTTACAAATAGAAACGAGAAAGATCAAGCAAGCAATATGGTAGATCTTTTAAAATGGTCAAAGAATGTTATAGTTTCATGATGGGAGATAATGTGTTTGAAGCACTACAATCTATGCGCTTCAAGGCCAATTGAATTATAACACTGCATGACTGAAATAAGCATGATTATATCTTGATGTTGTGTCTTCAAGTCAGTTCTTAATTTTGATCCTTACTAAAGAATCTTCTCTGTAAGTGTTTTACACATCAATAAATAAGGTGTAAAATGAACAGTTATCAGTTGATAAGCCGTGTTCATAAATACAATACAGAGTATAGTCCATTTCCTTGTGTAAATCAAATAACTGAAAATATGAATGAGTTCCTTCTATGAAACCTTACAAAATATTTAAAACATTTCTTTACTGCAATTTTTTTTTTGGAGGGGTGTGGATAACCATGGTATACACTGCAGTTGAGTTTGTCGTTAAATTGCAAACAGAAAATAGAAATAGTAGGTAGGGCCCTGTGGAGTTTGTGTGGACAGGATGGAGGGGATCGTTCTGAAGGACATACCTGTATGCCGATTTATTAATATCACAATACTGGTTACCCAATACTTAATCGTATCAAAGTGTTTATTAATTCATAACGCTGAGTACCCCAGCTGTATTGATGTTGCCGTAGCTTCAGGATGTATTGGTCTGGGTAATGTTGGTCCGTATCTTCAGGATGTATTGGTCTGGGAATTGTTGGTGCGTAGCTTCAGGATGTATTGGGCTGGGAAATGTTGGTCCGTAGATTCAGGATGTATTGGTCTGGGAAATGTTGGCCCGTAGCTTCAGGATGTATTGGGCTGGGAAATGTTGGTCCGTAGATTCAGGATGTATTGGTCTGGGGAATGTTGGTCCGCAGCTTCAGGATGTATTGGTCTTGGTAATGTTGGTCTGGTCCGTAGCTTTAGGATGTATTGGTTTGGGTAATGTTGGTCCGTAGCGTCAGGATGTATTGGTCTGGGTAATGTTGGTCCGCAGCTTCAGGATGTATTGGTCTAGGTAATGTTGGTCCGTAGCTTCAGGATGTATTGGTCTGGGTAATGTTGGTCTCATAGGAGTTTATCAGCTGTAAGCTCACTGCATAAGTCAATTTGATTGATTTATTTAGAAATATTTCTTGACTGGATATTGACTTGCAGTATTTCAAAAGGATGGACTCCAAAGAAGTTTGTTGACCTAATGTAGCATAAAAAAGGTCGAAGGTCAAGAACAGAATACCTGTATAAACATTTAACAAATTTTGTGACAGGATTTAAAATTATGACTGAATAACACAAAATGTTGTGAATTCAATGTACTGGGCAATGGCAAAATTCAAATTCCTGTGAATATCAACAACACTTCTTTGAAACATGGTTAATATTTCACCACATTATTTCATAAGGTTTTCACATATTACAACTAGAAAATATTACCAGAGGTCCCTAATTAACGAAGTTTAATTTGACACTAAATACAATGAAAAGAAAAAAGATTTTTTTTTTGTTTTTTTTCCCCAGTATTAAAATACATTTTTTGCTGTTTTATTTATGTCAAGCATATTTAGATCTGTTTTAATATGGACATTTTGACTTTTGTTTGGTATTTTCAATGATTTGTTGCATCCCCTTTTTTCCTGGCCTTCTTTTATTTCAACAACATTTGAACTAGGTTGTGTACAATTTTTTCCAACAGTATGTCATATGATGATATCGTGATCATACCAAGACCTTGTATTTCAGATCAGATTGACTTTGATTTCATTTGTATGCCCAGGCCTAAACTGCTGGCAATGTATGTGTTCGATTTTCCTAACAAATTCGATTCAAATGTATCAGTCACAAGAAAAAGTAAAAAATAAATAAAAATAAATGGAAAAATGAAAATTGAATGGTGGCTATGGTAACATAGATTGTTGGTGATAAGGCAAAACAAAATCTATGTTTCTGCCACATAAAATGATGTCAGCATCAGATTATCCATGATCAGATATTTTATACGTTGACTACAGAAATGGAAACCCACAAAGGGGAAGGATAACGAGTACCACAGGGATGGTCAGACTGACCAGGTATGTGTCCTCACTGCATGCTGACCACTCCCACACCACGGCCAGAATAAAGCCTGGACACACGAGACTGGGATAGCATCGGCATACCTATCAATAACAGAATAAAAAAATCTCCAATCTCCAAACCTCCAAATTGTTTGATTTACCTTAATAGCCAGGGTTAGACACTATAACGTTTTTTGCTTGATAGTCCAGTATTTCCTAATAATTTAAGGAAACATCGCGATCTACAGCATGAAACATCAAAAGTAACCGACTGTAGGGGACTACAAAAAACTACTGCCATAAAAATATGAAGTTTTAGGAAAATTTTGACAATTATCATGCAATATATCTTATATTAAGCAGTTTTCTAAATTTGAAAAAGGAATATTCTTAATTTACAAATTACAATGATGTTTTTCACAAGTCCAAAGGACCAGTTAGGTTAGGTGATTCACTAGTCCTTGCTGAACTCTACTAGTCGAGGACCGGTTAAGTTCGGTGATTCACTAGTCCTTGCTGAACCCTACTAGTCCAGGACTAGTGGACTGGTGCTAGTGTCGACCCTTGACTAGCCACAGTACAACCGTTATCACAGAACATAGAAATACATACTTACCAATAGTGAAACAGATCCAAGTCAATCAGTTGACAAATTTTATACCCGTCATTTCTTGATGAAGTGACTTAGATCTGGGGGGTGTTCCACATTGATAAGTGGCTATAAATATATATTCATCCATGCATAATTGATATGCTATGAAAGTACCGATATAAATTGAAGCCATATTTCAAACAAAATTTGACATAATCTATTTTCACTAATTTTAGCAAAATTGATAAATTTGCAAGAGTCATATATCTATATTGCCCTTAGACTTGTATAATAAAGAAGACAGGTAATTTTATATTTACTTGCAATGACAGGTAATAATTTTATAATTACTAGTAATGACAGGTGATAAAACACAGAGTCATATATGATACATGTAGTATCAGAGGGATACTAATTATAATCATGATTATATATATAAATAAAAAGCTCAGACAAGGCATATTTCTAATAATAAAGGTCCTGAAATCTTAACATCTAAAATGTAGCCAGATATGTGAGTCAGTGCTATCCCAGTCAGAAGTGTGAGGTCGTGGTGGAGGTACATTACCGTACACAATGAATGTACACTACATTTTTGTTGTCATTTTACTTTTTATCAGTTATCAACAATGTACATGTATCTATCCATTTGTAGACCACATTTCATTCCGGTCATATTTCTCACAATTTTTTCGTAATTGTTTTTGGTTTTCCTTCTCATTTCTGTGAATAGAATTATTCATAACAACAAAAGTCTGATTTTTCTGATAATATTCATCATGTTGTTTCTACATTATTTTTGAGTTTTTGCAAATGTTACGAAATCCTGTTCTATGTAAATGTTAAAGCACACCATTCTTAGTCAATTTGTACATTTAAGCACATCATGTTGAGTCAATGTTAATGGTAGCAGTGCACATCAGGTTGAGTCAATGTTAATGGTAGCAGTGCACATCAGGTTGAGTCATTGTTAAAGGTAGCATGTCATGTTAAACCAATGTTAATAGTAAAAAATCAGGTTGAGTCAATGTTAATGGTAGCACATTAGGTTGAGTCAATGTTAAGGGTAGCACATTAGGTTGAGTCATTGATAATGGTAGCACACCAGGTGGATTCAATGTTAATGGCAGAACATCATGTTGAGTCAATGTTAATGGTAGCAGTGCACATCAGGTTGAGTCAATGTTAATGGTAGCAGTGCATATCAGGTTGAGTCATTGTTAAAGGTAGCATGTCATGTTGAATCAATGTTAATAGTAAAAAATCAGGTTGAGTCAATGTTAATAGTAAAAAATCAGGTTGAGTCAATGTTAATGGTAGCACATTAGGTTGAGTCATTGATAATGGTAACACACCAGGTGGATTCAATGTTAATGGCAGAACATCATGTTGAAACAATGAAAATATTAGCAAACAAGGTTTAGTCAATGTGAATATTAGAACATCCTGTTCTGTCAATATAATATTGAAGACATCACATTGAGTCAGAATGTAAATTTTTGCACACTTCTGCCAATTTCGATGTTTGCACATCATGTTGAGTAAGTTTGTCCATGTTACCACAACCTGTCGAGTCAATTTGTGATTGTAAGCACGTCCTGTTGAGTCAGTGTGTTGGTAAATCTTGTTGAGCCAGGGTGAATTTTACCACAACCTGTTGAGTCAATTTGTTTTTGTAAGCACGTCTTGTTGAGTCAGTGTGTTAGTAAATCTTGTTGAGCCAGGGTAAATTTTACCACAACCTGTCGAGTCAATTTAAGATTGTAAGCACGTCCTGTTGAGTCAGTGTGTTAGTAAATCTTGTTGAGCCAGGGTAAATTTTACCACAACCTGTCGAGTCAATTTGTAAATGCAAACACATCCACATGAGTCATTGAAAATGCTATCAAATCTATGGAGTCAATTTGTAAATGTTAGCACATTGTGTTCAGTCAATGTAAATGTCAGCACATCATGTTCAGTCAATGTAAATGTCAGCACATCGTGTTCATGCAGTCAATGTAAATGTCAGAACATCGTGTTCAGTCAATGTAAATGTCAGCACATCCTGTCTACTCAGTCTGTAATTGTAAGCACATCATATGTCTACTCAGTCTGTAATTATAAGCACATCATATGTTTACTCAGTCTGTAATTGCAAGCCCATCATATGTCTACTAAGTCTGTAATTGGAAGCACATCATATGTTTACTCAGTCTGTAATTGTAAGCACATCATATGTCTACTCAGTCTGTAGTTTGTAAGCACATCATATGTCTACTCAGTCTGTAGTTTAAAGCACATCCTGTTGAGTCAATGAGTAAATGTTAGTACATTTTGTCTCCCCTTTTCAGTCAATGTAAACGTTAGCACATTCTGTTTCTAGCCTTGTTGAGTCTCTGGTGACTTCTGCACTGTTTACTGTTTTACATTGACATCATGATTAGACCTTCAGCATTACTTTATACATGATTAAACATTAACATCTGGCCAGACTGTATGTTGGATCTGGTGTTAACTTAATTATTGAGAATTTCTGCGTTCGCACAAACAGGTTAACTTGTGGTCAGTTATACGGGTATATATCTTTGTTTTCTTTGTAAATGGTATACACAGTCTTCTTGATCTGGTCGTCAGATACAGAGTTCTTGATCAACGTTAATTTACTATGTACAATTAAAAAAATGTTGATTTAGCAGTTCTGTTTTTGCCAGGATTTTTTGGTATAAATATATGAAGATTTAAAAATAATATATAAAGAAAAATTATATGATGGAATGAAAGGTATGTTGTGAGAATTTGTATTATTTTCCACTTCTGGTAATATTATTTCATTGCCCGCTATAATTTAATTTACCTTTGTGCTATATAGTCACCACTGCCCTGTGTGTAAACCTCCTGTGTAAGTTATTATTCATGTAACATTGATATTTATATAAACCGTAGCCGCCATTGAAACCCTACCGATTTAGGGAGGAGGAGACACAGAGAGAGACTGAGGTACAGTCGATTATAACATCTTATAAGATATGTAACATATAAATTATTATAAAATTTTGATTTTTTTTGACAGTATTTATCTTTGTATTATCTTTAATTGTGAAAGCATTTTACAGTCTCAAGTTAAAAGAAATGTTTATTATTTTCAAATGATTATTCAAATTAATATTTGTTTTAGGTGAACATTTTGTTCTTCATTTTTGGTGTGAAAAAAAGTGATTTATTTTTTTGGAAACCAAAAAAAACAAAAACTTATGTAAACGAATTAAGGCCAGGAAACAATCTTATTACTTTTTACCTATCTGAATATTATTGCTGACTCTCGGTTGTTTGTAATTCTGCCAGAAATGGAAGTCTTCATGGAAGGGAAAAGACAATGAGTCTCATAAGGAGGCTGAGGTACGCTCCTCGCACTGCATGGTTGTCGCCAGTCACGTACATTGTCAGCTTTTGATATATCTATAAATAATTTCTAAAATTGTATTTTTTACATATTTTTTTTCTTAATTGTGCACATAAAAATACCTATTTGATTCAACCCATACCCCCTTTAAGTCACATTTGACCCTACCAAAACAAAGGCTGAACAAGTGTAGGGGTGAATGAGTTAAGATATCATCTTAGGTGATTCATGTTCATTTTAATAATGAGAAGATTTGTGGTACAGAATATATTTTGAATTTGTAATGATTCTCTTCTCTGAAATCTTCTGTATAATTTACAAAAAAAACAACAACCCCAAGATGTCTGGTAGCAAAATTGTTTTACAAAAAACTTGTATCATCATAAAAGTAATTATCAATACAAAACTGAACATGTAAAATATTAACTACAAGAATGTATGTACGGTATGCCTTGTCGATGTAATAAGGAAAACAGACATCAGGCAGTGAAGTGTTCTTCACGATGATTGAGTATATATATACACAAATACAATCATTATTTGATTAAGAGTATCGTGTGTATGACGTTACTAGTCTAGGAGGAATTCTTTGTTGTTGACAACACCTGCATCACGTTACGCTTCCCTGACAACGAAATAATATAAACACCATGGCCCCATCACACCCAGTGTTTACATACGACAACAATCGTCAGCTGCCATGGCGACCTACTTAACTTGTTTATTTTCCATCACGGACAGTAGCTCTGAAATATGTGCTATTTTTTTCTGTATCATGTCGGTTGATATAGATTTGGTGCAATATTAATCTCCTGAGAGGGATGAGCCAGCATGTTGATTGTGTTTTAGTGACGACGAATGAAGCCATGTCCAAGATCATAGCAATCAATCCGGACTGTCTGGTAGATAGTAGAATCCGATGAATCAATATTAATATTTTATTAGAAAACTGATGTATTACATCAGATAGGTGGTATTTGGTAGGTAGATTACATGAATATTGATAACGATTTTTGACACAATGGGAATCAATTATGCGTGGAAATTTGAAATTTATTATCACTGGTCTTTTGTCATTCAAAGTCTGCAGCTAGTGAAATGTTCATTTAAAACAAAATATATTACTAGTGTACTTTAATTTTTTTCTTTAGATATTCATTTTGAATCCCGGTTGACATGCAATTTTAATTTTAAATTATTGATTTGTTTTTACAAAACCTTCAGTTGACTGTTGTTGTTACTCTGTGATCATTCTTTGAACCAATATAATAGCTGTGATCATTCTTTGAACCATTATATTAGCTGTGATCATTCTTTGAACCAATATAATAGCTGTGATCATTCTTTGAACCATTATATTAGCTGTGATCATTTTTTGAACCAATATAATAGCTGTGATCATTCTTTGAACCATTATATTAGCTGTGATCATTCTTTGAACCATTATATTAGCTGTGATCATTCTTTGAACCAATATAATAGCTGTGATCATTCTTTGAACCATTATATTAGCTGTGATCATTCTTTGAACCAACAAGCCTTGTTAACAAGATTGAAATTCTGGAACTTATTGTGTTCATATTTCACAGCAGAAACAAACTGCATTTTCACTTTACTTTTTCTATCAGACGTTTTCTTTCTTTAGTCAAAAACTTAAAATGAACACTTATCATACCTTCCGTGACAAATACCATATTCCTAGAAATGTTAAAAATATCCAGAATATTTTAGAAATTCTAATTGATCCTCTTTTACACCAGTTTTTTTTGGGGGGTTCGTGTTGGTGATGTTGAGTTGAGATTTGCTGAAGAGATAAATACAGTTGATTTATTTTGGACTTGTCGTCTTTGCTTTGAGAAAAAATCAGTAGGCACAGTAGTGTGGTAACTTTATTTGTAATGAAACGGATAATTTCATCCCTTGCCCCAAGGTGCACATGCTTAACTCATTCAACCCTGAAAACACATTTGAACTCTTCCAAATCAAAGGTTGGAATAGTTCATTATGAAATTTCAGGGGAGAATGAGTTAAATTTGAATTACCAATGTGTACACGTTTTGACATCATAAGAATATTGAATGAGGCTCTCAACATCAGATGCTTCAGAGGTGAACTTTCAGAAGCATCAAAATTATATTTAATGTGATGCCAGGACATTTTTTTTCTCTATTCTGTCTGTGTCACAGTGAGTTTAATGGCATCAAGTTCTGTGCTGGAATTCAGAAGCTTGACTGCAGATGTCTTGGATGACTGGTTTTATTTTCTGGAACACAACAAATCTATCAATGTGGCATGTACTTATGTAAACACAGCTTCTGTGTTGCAGTGTCACGGTATTCTGCACTCAAATTTCACCAGGATTCAAATGTATCCCAAACTATTTTAATTTTTGATAAAATGGTGATTTTGTATCTGTTGGATGTAGCCATGGAAACAGTCCCGGGTTCGAGAAGATGACATTCAAGGAGATGTGGAGGTATGTCCACTGACTTATAAAAACATCTTGAATCTCTCCAACTAAGTTCTAGATTTTGACATTTGCTTGCTACTTCCGTTGGTTGAAAATTGTCACGTGCAATTTAAAATTAAGCAAAGGTGTGAACAAGACTGATGTGTTTAATGAATGGGTGAATAAGATATATTTGATACTAAATAAATCCCTTGACAGGACACTTGGTTGAAGGGTTGAGGAGTTAGTATTTGGGAAGATAGAGTTTTTAAGTGGCTAGTCGACCATGCATATGGTTTTAGAAGTTTGAAGAAAATAACAAAATTAACTCAAATTTCTGTAAATTTGACTTACAAAATGTGTAATATATTTTGAAATTATTGATAATATGCTTTAAGAAATATTTCCTAAAAAATGTGTTATGGTTTACATTTTAGCGTCATATTTATAAACCGGTACATGTATGAAATTTTATACCTTAAAATTAGATAAAGAGCTAGTTCAGGTGCATGCAAAATATATACATACTACAGTAGTACAGTCGAAACATGTAAAACAGTTAATCTAGTTCAATGAGCAAACCGTTAAAAATATTTGTATGAAAGGTTGAGATCAAATTAAAACAAAATAACCTATTTGATTCACCTTGAAGTAAAGAAATACAAATTCTAGATCACAAAAATTGCATGAATTTTAGTTTCTTAATTGCTTAACATTATCATGTACTAGATAAAATGGCTAGTCGTGGAATGAACACATTATATATGCTAATATACTGTAATCTGCATGAGATGTATACATACAGGTCACAAATGTAAGATAAGCTAGATTGTTAAAGCAAAATCTTGAATTTCACATGATTTTATAATTTAAAACGATTTTTTTTTATCCAGTACTTAATAAACTAATAATTCAATTCTTAATTGATTTTTTTTTTTTAGAATTATTTTATTTTTCCAAAAAATGTTTTATTTGGTTCAATTTGATGCTATTGCAAAATAAGCTCTTTAATCTGAATGTTTGAATACTTGTGCATTTTTAACACAGAACTATTTTCTATTCTTAATATGGAAAATTTCATTTAATAAAACTGTTAACAAGTAATATAAATGATGGCCACCTTTGTTACCTCACTCACAGCGCTGGAAGCCCCTGAAGGTCAAAGACAATGACTACCACAAAGATATGGAGGTATGCCTAAATATAATCTTTGACCTGTAAAGGCCACTGCCCTAGATTTTTACTTTACTGTAGCTCAATTGAAGCTTTGAAATTATTATTTTTTTTATTAAAAGTATAACCCATAGAAAATATGTATATTGTATGAACAAATCTGATTAAGTTATGTTTAGAGTTATTTTTTTTATGCTCTATATATGTTTAAGATTATTGCATATATCAATTTCCTAAGATGGGGGTGTTTGTTTCTTTATATTTTGGCTTCCAACTCATTGATCACAGTGATCAATAAGTGAAAAGGGAGGTAATTCTGATGATTTTAATAATAAATGCAAAGGGAAGTAACTCTGATGGCGGTAGAGTTATTTGCCCCTATATCTAGGCCTACAACGGGTGTGATAGCTATACTTTTGTCACACCTGTAGATCACGGGTAAACCAGTGAAATGGAAGGAGACAGATATACTTAAGGAGTCGGAGGTATGTGTATTCTTGGTCGGAGGTGACCTCTGTTTGTTTTGTTTGGTTAGTTAGTTTTGTGTGACAGAGGCTGGATGGACAGTACGGTAACCCCACTGTAGATGTAGCATGGGCAGATGTATTAGCAAATTTTGTTCTACAAGGATTAAGACACATTACCTGTTACCGCTTCATTTCTTTTACTTTTCTATATTTTTTTCTCATGTTGCTTGCTGTCTATCATTATATACCACATTAATTATTTTATTTAATAGATCACAACATTATTTTTGTTGTATGTAGTTTTTCTTTCACAATTTGTTTTTTCTATCAGATTCTTTTAATTTATTCAAATTGTTTGAATTATTTTGAAAAGAGTAAGAAATGTTAAGGTATGTGTTTTGACAAATAGTTGTGTTATAATATATATTAATGAAGTAGTTGATTTGTTTGATATAATCATTTAATTAAATATATTTACATATATACAATGTGTATATATCATTTACTTGTTTGGGGTGCTAGACTTTTTTGCTAGTGATTACAACATGTTTTCCAACCCTATGCCGGCTGGTAATTGACTTGTTCCGTTACCAAACTTCCTTCCTCAATGCAAACTTAAAATTGATTTGACACTGTAGTCTTTAATAAGTGTATTGATACTGGCAATTTCCAAGATTATATGTTATGGGCTCCCAAATTTATCAATATTTAAAAAAAAAAATAAAAAAAATACTGAACTACCCTAAGAATATGCATGTAGAGAGAGATTGGTCTCTTAAATTTTTTCCTTTTTTTAAAATGAAATATTTTTTTTCTTGTGGAAAGTTGTCATTCAGATCCAGCTGTACTATCCAAAGAGGGTCATTTTGGTGATGAAATATCATTATAGAGTAAATTGGAGGGGTGGTATGAAAATTCCTGAGAAAAACAAAAATGATAGATTCACAAAGAAATGAAAGGCATGGCATGCACAAGGCACAGGTAATTTTGATTGTGTGTGTTGACTGACCGCATCAATAGATTAATTCAGAACTTATACAAGTTTATATCTGTTGGATGTAGCCATGGAAACAGGCCCGAGGTCATGACAATGATTCCCAGAATGATCACGAGGTAATTAATTCTCGCTGTCTTGAAATTAACAACACAAAACTTCACCTCACAAAATCATACATTCCTGTAATAAGTGAACATCCATTTATGGATGCATGTTCGCTTATTCAATTATCAATAATTAATTCATGATCGCAATGATCACATCTTGTTTTCACAGCATCCATATATATACTGTATCTATACCGTGCTGAATATATAATATATATATATATGATGATATATAATCATTTTGTTCATCAGATTTTTTTTAGATGTTTGTTAAACCAAATTGATGATATTCTATGATTTCGTTTAGAGTAATCAAGACCTATGATGAATATTAGAAGAGCGAGACGATGCTTTTCATTAGTTTCTTATTGTCTGGTGATATTTGAGGTGTTTGTAAAGTCAAAATTTATCAATAACAGTTTTTCATAAAAGCAGTGAACAAATATTCAGATCTAGATTTTATTACGTACACAGAAATTTGAAATTAAAGAGGATGCAACCATTTGCCTATTGAAATTCAAAGCTTATATTTGGCAGTAATGAAACGATTCCAATTAAACCATAGAAGATTATGTTTGACGGTAACAGTGTTTCAATATATCCTTTGTGGGTAGTTGCAAAGATGATTCTTATATCTTGTACATTTGACGTTTTATTAAACCGTGTTTATGATGTTGTTGGATAGACATGGAAACCATCGAAAAACAGAGATGATGACACACAGTCACGAGATATAGAGGTAGGAATCAATATCGGATCAAAACAGACGTTTGTTTTTTTCTTCTTTAAATTCTTGTTTTCATTAAGCAAGCAAAAACTGATTTTCTTTGATATTTTGAAAAAAGAAAGCGATAAATTGGTGAAAACTTTTAAAATGGAAATTATATAAAATGTGTAAGATTTCAGTTGTATTTGCTGAACCGTGATCTTTAAGCAGTGTTTGATATAGTTAAATTAACTTTTGGTAGTTGTCATGGAAACCAGCAAAAATTAAGGAGGGAGAAGTAAAGGAAACCGAGGTACGTCCTCGTCACTTGTCACCATAGCGACACTATATCCGCAAACTGATCACGTTTGATTTGTATATAAACGCAACCAGTATATTGTGTGTGCCAATCTTCACATACACGGAAAAACCTGCATATAGCGACCATTATAACGTATCGTGGCTTTTCTGTTGAGGAGTTTGTCGGCAGATGTACAATTTATAGGGTTTAATACCGTTAGTTTATACAGGTGGTCGCTATAGCAGGTTTTGTTGCTGTACATCTGTGCTTCATCTATTTGCAGGCAGTTCCCTTCTCTCTAAATCCCTTCTGGCTTTCTGAAATCTTTGTGTGATTCTGTTTGCAGTAAAACCATTTCTTACTTTAAATTTCAAAACAATATAGTAGTTGGGGTTTTCGATCTTACAAATCAAGTAATTTTAAATGATACCTTTTACAAGATAAAAATTAGCATTTCAAAGGCTTGCCATTGTTCGTGACCTGTACCTGTGTACTGCAATATTTGTTTGATAAAGATGAGTATTTTAAGATTTGGCATTGTCAGGAAATTATGACACTTTGTATGATAAGATGGATTATGAGGATTAGACTAGTCAGATACCGCTTGCTGTCTGATGAAGGTGTTAATTATGTACGACGCTGAGTTGACCCTCATGAACTCGAACAAAATGCCTTTCCTTGGAGTTGTTCACTAGGTTACATTATCAAATGTTATCGCCAACTTCTTGATCAAGTATCTTGGTATTACAGTATTAATTTGTGTGTAATTTTCAACCAGGTTGAACTCATTGTCTGATGAAGAAATGTAGTGATCGTGGGATTTTTTACGACTTGCTGATTTGCTGATTTCACTAACATGTACATTATAAGCTGGACCACTAATTGCATGAAAACATATTCTTTTGATGAATGTCCCATATTTCATTACCAGGTACTAGCCCTTTCCAAAATTGGCCTTTTGACAAAGTTTTTTTTGTGTGTAGAACTTAATGAAATATTGTCCTATTTGGAAAGGTTTCAAGATGTTTTGAAATAATTCACTAGAAAATAATTGTAATACAATGTGTATTTCTTTGTAATTGAACACAAAGGGTTTTCCTATTTACAAAATTTTAATTACCTGGCAAGAAATGTAGCACTAGGCAATTTACACTTGTCTAGTAATATAACAATTTCACCTGTCGAGAACTGAAAGCCAAAATGTGTTGACAAGATATTGTCTACCATAGCCACAACTAGACGAGAAACATGTGAATGATTCATGAACTTGTCTCCTACTGTTGTACTGTTGACTAAAGGTTTAGGGATGTTTAGAGATTACTATTGGTTTACAGATAAAAATGTATGGGGAAATTAATGCATTAATGTGTACCAGATTAATCAAGAGTGCTTTAAACTTGGTGACAACATCAGGCTGTAGAACCTTGTTGATCAATAATTGAGAACACTTTTTAGGTGCTTAACTTCACGAACAAAGTAAATGTCTTGGGACATGACTTTTTATGTTGATCTTAAGACTGGAGAGAAACAAATTGTCTTGACTTAAGTAACCTTCCCTTAATTTCCGGTTAGATGTAATGGTCAGAGCGATAGAACATCAATCTGTAGTCATCGGTTCAAATCTTATTTCGCTCAAAACACTACTTTTGATGATACTTTGTCATTTTGTTATTTATGCAAGTCCCGCAAGGTACAGTTTTCTTCACAGAAATGGTTCATCAAAGCTATAATCATGCCTGAAAAAAAACAGTTTCCGATGCATAGTATCCCTAAGTTCTCCCACTGAACTTTAAAGGGGAATAACTCTTTAAGAAGTGCTCCTCCAGTTCTACCAGCGGGGCTATAGCCTGCACTCTGTCTTGCCTAATTAAAGTCAAGTCAGTGTGCTACTTTTGTCCAGGGCATGTCAATTTTCTGCCAACTATAGTTGCCTTATTTTATATGCGTATACCTCTGGGATGGGGAACTGTTTTGCTCAATCATGTGGTCTCTTGTCCCTAAATAGACAGAGTTGTTGCCCTTTGTCTAAGGCTTATCTCATACTCTGTTATCTATTAACTGTTTTTTTTTTTGTCCGAATATGTCTCTTGATAGCAGCAGAGGATAGAGTACTGAAATTTGGTTTCGATCCTCGCTTCGTGCAGGGTTATGGCCCTTTGTTTTTTCCAAAGTTTGTCTAGAATATAAACTAGGAGTTGGGACTATGAATTGCTCACAATATTATGTTTTTTTTCTTTTTCTCTAATTGTAATGATTTTTATTTAATTATTTCAAATTGTACACAATATTGGACGAAGCATGGCACTATCAGGATCCATTGGTAGGAAACTGTTCACATATAATTTATATAAATAGTATTTTGAATATTACACAGATGTCCGAGGATGCGTTTTCTAATTATTTTCTCTGTTTTTCCACAGCTACTTATATTAATATGTAATAAAGTACTTGCATGCCTGCCTGAATATTTGCGATGTTCTTATATATTTCATTAGACATGTTAGCTTACAATTCATTAACCCCCTTATCTGTCCTGTTGGTTTTGTGAGATATATTGTATAATGCCCTGATGATAACCATAAAACTGAACCAGTACTT